CGTTTCGTCTTTACGACGAGTCGTCTCCCCCAATACCATCTCTTTCCCCTCTCCATCCCATTTCCCCTCATCCTCCTACTTCTTCTCCTCTTCCAGAATGTCCAATGTTCTCATGGATTCGTAAATTTCTATCGTTCTTCTTGCGCGCTTACTCTTAAGCTCTCTTTCACGTTTATTATTCCATATAGAAAAATCTTCGTCGCCTTAGCCTTTAAAAAAAAAAAAAAAAAAAAAAAAAAATAAGAAAACAATTCTGGATCATACAAAACTCGTTTGAAAGATCCTTTTCTATATTACGACGAACGAAGACGATACTCTCCCTGTGTTCGTTCGTTTGTACATTCGTTCGTACGTTCTTACGTTCGTTCTTTCTCTCTTTCTTTCTTTCTTTCTTTCGTTTCTGACGTAACTCAACCGACTTCGTAAGATCGAATAGAACGCGACACGAGAGCTATGCGAATGTGAGAAGTACGCGGCCGAGTTCCCTTCGTTCTTACACCACTGCCTGTCTGCGCTCTTGCAAAATTACCGAACGCGATCTCAAAGTGCATATCTCGAGCATGCTTCGAAAGGAGGAAAGAGGAGGAGGAGGAGGAGGAGGAGATGGAGGTGGGGAGGATATATCTCGGAAGCAAAGAAAAAGAGAGAAAGAGCTGACTGTGACGTTCGACACAACCTGCGAAAAAAAAGATGTATACTCTCTCTATATATATATATATATATATGTATATATACATATATATATCTACTACCATTTCATGTACACTGAAAAGAAATGGCATATTATTTACGCGCTTTTCTAATAATACGTGTGTATGTGTTCTCACGTATGGCGTTAGCACGTTTATGTACACATAAATATATATATATATATATGCATGCACACGCGGTCGTGTTTATATAGGGTTAAAGAATTGTCCGGCAGGGCGGAGGAGGAGCGACGGCAGCGGGGCTGGGAGGGGTGGGAGCAGTGCAGCGGCGTACAGAGGACAGGAGGTCGTAGAAGGACGTGGTAGCAGCGTGCGTGGTTGAGACGATGCCGGATAGTGGGGGAGGGGGACTCTAACTTAACTGGAGGGGAGGTAGTACGGTTGGAGCAAAGCTATCGGGTGATCAAGCGAGTCCAAGAGTGGTGGGAGCGCCACTGTAGAATGGTGGAGGGGGGTAAGCGGCGAGTTGTGCGAGCAAAAGAGAGAAAGAGAGAGAGAGAGAGAGAGAGAGAACGAGACGAGTTCGCTGGGTCTGGGGAAAAGGTGAGGAGAGGAGAGAAGGAAAAGAGAGGTTAGGCGGCGCCTGGTATGTGGCGCCTTCACTGGCGTCGGGCCATCTTTTATTCTGCCATTACAAAGAGTCAACACGTATCTTACTTATATAGCCAAGCACGGTCGTCCTCTCTTCGGTACATATATACGAAAGCTCCTTCACGGGTGTATGATATCATTGTGTTTTCCATGTTTTACGACCACGCTAGCGGGACTTAACCTTTTCTCTCTTTTGTTTCCTTTCTTTTCTTTTTTCTTTCTTTCTTTCTCTCTTTCTTCTCTTTCTCTCTCTCTTTCTCTCTCTCTTTATTCTTTCTTTTTTTTTCTTTCTTTCTTTTTTTATCGTACTTCTCTTCTGCAAATCCTTTTCTGTGTTATATCGTAGAAAGCACGATTCTTTGAAATCGTTCCAATTAATTTGTTTACATAAATCGTTTCTTTGTAAATAAATCGCGATCGATTCTCGTCGATATCGTTTTAATTAATTCTTTATGGAGAGATTTATTATGTCAATAGAATCATTTCTATGTTCTATGTTCTCTCTCTCTCTCTCTTTTCCTATAATATCTTCTTACTTTTCACGATATCTATCTATATATATATATCGTTGCCATTCAAATTTGCTTGTGCAGAGTTTATTTATCGTAATTATATAGAACACCATGGCGTTCGCCATGGAAACAAAATAATGGCGGGTTTGAAACATTTTGACAAATTCTTTAAGGCAAAACTGGAGAAGATAAAATACAATACGATACGATACATGTATCTATACATAAGTACATACATACGTACATATAAATTGCATTTGATTTCTAATTAGATCCATTGAATTTGATTTTTAATTAAATTCGTTCACTTGGAAAGATGATCCCATATTTAATTTCAAAGGTACACTTCCGTCAATCGCATTTGATTTAAATAGATTTTATACTTTTGTGTATGAAAAAAAAAGAAAAAAAAAAGAGAGAGAGAGAGAGAAAAGAATAAAAGAAGAAACAAAATAAAAATAATAAGAAAATGCATATATGAATGAAGAAAAAGAAGGAACCAGACATCGATCATTATTCCCTCGACGTTTTCTCAAGGGACTTCCCGAGATGGAAAAGCACGACGATGACGATGACGTTGACGGCGTTGACGACGTTGACGACGATGATATTAATTTTAGTCGGACCACTAATTTTAGAAATACTCGCGCGTTTACATAGCGGATCTGCGATATACCGCACGCGTTCACAAACACATACACTCACACATAGAGAAAGAGAAAGAGAAATAGAGAGAGAGACATAGATACATACACATAGAAAGAAAGAGAGAGAGAGAGAGAGAGAGAAAGACACATGCGACCGTTCTTCTTCCACCTTACCAACGATTTTAATATGTCGACCGATACACCACTATAAACATCGTTTATGACTATACCAATCTTACATGGTTATTCATTTCACGTACCATAATACACGGATACGTATGACGTCGCGAAGTATTTGCGCGTGAGCGCACTACCAAAAGACCGTGGGCGTTCTCAGGAAAGAAGGAAATGCAAAACGTTAAGATGAAAGAAAACGACAGAGACAAAATATACTCACATATATCATTCACTATATATATATATATATATATATATATATATATATATATATATATAGTATATATATATATATATATATATATATATATATATATATATATATATATATATTGTTTATTGACAATAAGACGTACTTTCGGTGAGAGTAAGCGCGTAAAAGCACGTGGAATAATTTTTCGAGATAGGTAAGAAGAAAGAAAGAGAAAAATTAAGAAACATTTTACGGCTTTGGTCGTGTTTATTTCTTCTTCTTCTTCTTCTTCTTTTTTTTTTTACCTTCTTCTTTTTTATTTTTTGTCTTTTTTTCTTTCTTCATATAATATATGCATGTTGCCGGATAGAAGAGGATAAGATATTCGTGAAAGACGTCGACGAATGCATTCGTCGATTCACCTGTCGCTCAGTAGAGACAGCGATCTATAGATCAAAACAACGATTTATAGATCAAAAGCGAAGGGGATAAAAGTTTCATTTTCCTGTTTCTCTATCTCTTTCTCTTTCCTTCTTTTTTCCTTCTTTTTTTTTTTTCTTCCTATGTCTATCATCGATCGCAGCTATAACGCAGAAACTACGATATAAGAGTTTATTCCTCCCGTTCAGTGTAATTTTTATCTTTGACGAAGCTAGAGTTATTTCAATCCTTCGATATTACAATTTCAATCGATTGGTTCACAATCGTCGACGTCGACGTCGACATCGTCGTCATCGTTATTTGTACATCTCACTTCGCTAGGATGCATTAGAAGCCGATATGGTGGATATCTGAAACGAGAGAAAAAAAAAAAGAAAAGAAAAAGGAGAAAGGATCAAGAAAGGAAAAATTAAAAGCAAAAGAAAAAGAAATAAAATAAAAAATAAAATAAAATAAAATAGATAAGGAAAAAAATCTTTTCGAACCGCTTCTAGAAGTTCTTCTTTTTCTTCTTCTTTTTTTTCTTCTTCTTCTTCTTCTTCTTGGGGACCTTCAGGAGGGGAACTTCAAGGCAAACAGCGCGACGAACATACGAACTTGTTCGTAAAATTTCTCTTTGGTTTTCTTCGTTATAATGTGCGAAGGTCACGACGAAAATGATCCCTGTCCCTTCCCTCCCTATCCACAATCCCTATAAGCCCAGTATGCCGATCACATCGTGTTCTTGCGCCAATGATCATTATCGTATCCATAAAGGCGCGAGGAATGAGCGAACGAGCCAACGAGCGAATCGATCTTTGATTCGATCGAATCATTTCAACCTTTTTTTTCTCTTTTTTTTTCTCCCTTATATATATATATATATATATATATATATATATATATATATATATGGATACACACATGTATAGATATAGACCACCGTGAATCATACTGGCGTGTAAAGGAATGCCGTTTAAACGTTTTTCGTTCTCGTTCCTAGTTTGTCTATCTCAGCGTGGTACCTCATTTTTTTTCCCCTCCCTTCCAGTAATCTGTTCCGGACTTTTATCACTTATGTACAACTTCTGACGAACTCAAACGCAAGTCTGTATATATATATATGTTTATGTATGTATATTAGCTACACATAACGTATGCAGATCCATAGTATAAATGTGTGTATGTATATATATATATATATATATATATATATTGGTTAGCATAAACGATCAGGTCATTACGCGGTTACTACGTTAGTCGTGTCGGGGTAGGGGTAGGGGGGTGAAGGGGGGTAGTGTGTTGTACATAACTAGTTTCGACTACGAAGTTGCCTTCGCCCTCGATCGATCCGTCGCCTGCGAAAGCGTTCAAAGAGAGGAGGAAAAAAAAAAAAGAAGGAAAAGATATAAAAAGAGAGCTTACGATCTTTTTAACAAATGTTGCTTTCAAGAAGATAAAGAAGCAATCAAAGTTTCGTTTCGTTTAAGTTATATTCGAAGTTTATTTCGTTTAATTTAGTTTTATACCTACCTCTTCTTTTGTTTGTTTCGCTTTTTTTTTCTTTTTTCCTCTTTTTTTCTTTTTTTTTTTTTTTTTTTTTTTTTTTTAACGTCCTTTCCCTTTGTTTCCTTTCAAAGTCGCGAAAAGAAAATTTTCCATTTATCGACACGGTCGGTAAAACAGAGTAACATGCTATATCGCATCTATACATGTATGTACGTATGTATGTATGTGTACGTACATACACGTAATCGAGGACCACACACGTTGCAATGAAGTTACGCGAGGAATCGAAAGCGCAACACATAGTGGGATGGCAATCAATTTTTGGAGCTCGATGGCACGCGTGGCACCGTGCCTCAAGCTCACCCGATCCGTCACTGGCTACGATACAGGCGCCACTAGCCGAGTACGGTTTGTCCTCTTATCACGGGCAAACAACGTTCCTCTAAACTCCGTCGTCTTCGTTTTCGTCTTCGTCGTCTTCGGTATACTCGTATCGCTGAACACTCGTCTATTTAACGAGAGATACACATACGCACGCACGCACGATCACACGCGTATACATACGCACGCATACCCAAGCGTGTGCGCATACGTCGTTTGCCGGCACCACGCTATTCAGGCGCGTGCTGCGCGTTGCGTATTTTTAATCGTCGCGTACTCTCACCGATGGACCGACTGTCCGGATATATGTGTACCCACTGTTCGCATAACTCGAGATCCCTCTCGTATATTTTTCCTCTGTAACAAATTTTACTTAAAAAAGTAAAGATATAAAATAAATAAAAATATAAAGAAGAAAGAAAGAAATAAAAATAAGAAATAAAATAAATAAATAAATAAATAAAAAAGATCTAGAAAGACAATTGGAGAAAATATTTTTCAGATATAACTTACTTATATCCGATTTCGATCCGTCAATCGCTTGTGTCCTCTCGTCGTATACCTATATCTACAATAATTATACGAGCAACGATTAAGAGAATCGCACGATGTAAACCGTTCGTTCGATTGTAAAAAAAAAAAGAAAAAAGAGAGAGAAAAAAAAAGAAAAGGAAAAAAGAAAAAAAGAAAGAAAATTTTCCGATAGACATTTTCCCATTAAAATAAATATTTCTTGAGAAAGATAAAAGGGGACGTGGTTCGTGGTTCGGTGATTACGTTACTGGTATAGAAGAATCGTAGGTTATGTCGAACCGGCAGCCGGTCGTTGCGCTCGGGCGATCATCGCATACATACATGTATACGTACGTAGGTGTACAACGTACCTATGTAATATAGAATAAACGTAGTATACGTTGAAACGACGGCGACGTCGTCGTCGTCGTCAACGACGGGTGCGTCGGTGGCCGGCTTTCTCGTCGCATGGTACGCGCGTTCGTTAGGTATGCGACACGTATGGCGTACCTACACCCAGTCGAGCTGCCGTACGCTCGTAGAAAGGCCGTTTGAAGGACAAGGGTCACGTCTGAACAACGATACATATGTATGTATACATATATCGTATATATGTGGATATATACAAACATGCATGTATATATATATATATATCATTAATCGTATAATATTATATGTATTGTGTATGATATATATATATATATGAATGTGTTATATATATATGTATACATAATTATATATACATAGTATATATATATATTAACATATATACGCGATGCTGCACCGGCCACTGCCTTTTCCACCTTTACCTGTATAATAGTAGCCGGCTCCGTTGCATTTCCCGCGTGCGCCCGCTAGTACGCGCGCGCGGACACGATTCCTCTTTCTCTCTCTCTCTCTCTCTCTCTCTCTCTCTCTCTCTCTCTCTCTCTCTCTCTCTCCTCTCTCTCTCTCCTCTCTCTCTCTCTCTCTCTCTCTCTCTTTTAGCTCGTGTCACGTCTAAGCGTGTTTATTACCTGCCACAGTAATTAACGATGCCTTCGGTCGATAGAATACGCTTCGTGGGTGGTACAAGGAGGTTAGAATTCTTTTACAAACGTTTTATCATTAAGCGCTTCTTAAGAAACTTGAATAATTATCCAAATGGCGGCGCCAATTTTAATATCGCTTTCATTAATATTTCTCTATTCGTTTGTTTGATTGAATCAAAGAAAAGGAGAGTGAGAAAGAGAGAGAGAGAGAGTGGAAAGGAGGGAGTTAGGCGGGGGTAAGAGTGATTTAAGTTTGAGGAGAGAAGACATCGTCAACTTGTACTCTCTCTCTCTCTCTCTTTTTATCCGATACGTTTAAAAGAGAGAGAGAGAGAGAGAGAGACGCGTTTTAATGGCTCGCAGCACGCACGATTCTTGCGTAGTCGTGTGCTGCGAACGGCCGACTCGCCGACGGCCGCAACAACACGCCGTGTCGTAAGTGCGGCACCTACGGTTACGCAGTTACTACTTTGCTTGGCCGTGCCAAGGTTGGGAACCTTATCTGAGAGAGCTTCAGGGTGTTTGACCCAACTGGGAAAACACATTGGCACTCGCGCGACGCTTTGCGTTTCGTCCTCTCTCTCACTCTCTCTCTCTCTCTCTCTCTCTCTCTCTCTTTCACTCAGTCAGTCACTCACTTATTCTCTTCAATGCTACTACTCCGCCCGAGTCTCTTTCTCTCCTCGTCGATATCCTTAAAGCCTCGTCCACAATCGTCCTTTGTTCTCGATATACGTTCGAATGGGATAAGATCGATGAGAACGCGTGCTTTGCTTTCTCTCTTTTCCTTTCTTTCTTTCTATCTTTGTTTCTCTTATTCTCTTCTTCCATTCCCTCGAACGCACACATTATTCGTTACTAACAAAAATCCATAGATATCCTAACCTCTAACGTTCTTTTTCAATTACGAGAGGATTTAATTGATAAAACATATATTATACGTCTCAATTCGTATGTATCATCACAATTTTATAGAAAGTATATTAATATTATCGATTGATTACTTGATCGTTGGGAGTATTTCGTTCATTTCATATTTATAATTTTACCTTTTCTTTTTTTTCGTTTCGTCCTCGTCTACCTTTTTTTACTTTTCGCCTTCGTCTTTTTTCTCCTTAACTTCATTCATTCAAATTTATTCGCGCGCTACTTCTCAGTTTTCTCCTCCATATTTAGTTGCAGAGGGCGTGCGTGACGTAGAAGATCGAAAGAGAAGCCATCTAATCCGATAACCTCAAATTTACGACTTTTACGCTCGCCTATACGACGAAAGAAGCTTTGACACGCAAGATCTCCGAAGGTCCGCGTAATTAATCGATTGTCGGCCGTCACGCTTCGGGAAAAAAAAATGTATGGAAAGAATAAAAAAAAAAAAAAAGATATACACGTTACATACATACATATATAGATATATATATATATATATATATATATATTTATATATACATATATGCATACATAAATATATTCGTTATCCTCGAGGCTCGACGAGACGACGCTCGACGATCATATCGCATTCCAAACGAGACTACAGATGCTTTAGCCGGCACTGTCGCGTGTCTCTCGGAACACGTTATTTTTTTTTTTTCCCTCTTCCATTTGTGTTTACACACACGCACATGGACGCACACAGTTAGCATAGATACACCTTGCCGTATCTGCTGCGTGCCGATTGGTATGCGACAGGAAAGGTCGACTTCTTGAGATCTTCGAGGCGTTGCGAGCAATTCGATGTGTGTCCATGATCTTTTCGTTAGAATCACGGAACTCACTACGAATCCATCCTCCGTTCGTCCTCTGTCTCTGATGAAGAAAAAGGAAAGGAAAATATGGGGGGAGTGATACAAAAGAAAGAAAAAAAAGAAAAGAAAGTAGATCGTTATTATTCATGATTATTCGCCGAACGAGAAAATCTTTCTTCTTCTCTAATCGTTGAAATGCGCGTTTATTGATTTCACAGAATTCCGATTAATTCCGTTCACTTTATCGGGAATAATAGAATGTAATGGGTAAAAATAGATGGAACTGTTTATTTAGCGATTTAGCATTAATATATACATATGTACATATATGTATCTCTTGGATGGATACGGCGTTGGATCAACGATCGATCGTTCAAGCACTTATTACCCTCGAGCGTCTGGCGCGCCTCATTTCTATAAAGCCAAGTGGGCGGTTTATATCTCGGCGGATAGTTAAAAGACAAACGAGAGATCGTAAGCCAAAAGAGAAGGATAAAAAAAAAAGAAAAAGAAAAAATGAAAGAAAAGAAAAGAAAAAACAATGTATCAAAGCTAACTCAAAAATTCTTTGTTTTGTGCACTAAATATATTAATAATACTAGGTAGCCTTATCCTCCGTTCATCGTAGAGCTCTACGTAAAATCAAATCGATCTAATAATGCACATACACAATATATACGTATACACTACTACTATACGTATTTACATATATACGCGCATATATATATAGATATATGCATGTATGTATGTACTTAACACGAACTTAGACGACGACGTACTAAAGCATAATATACTCTTACGTTAGAGCCCAAGTTACTGTCTTCGAAAATGCTGGTAAGCTTATGTATATTATTTATCGACTCCGCGAAGTCGAGAAAAATTCTTCATATCTCTGGTCAAAGACCAAACCACCGGAGATCTTGCAAGAAAATTCGTCTTTCTTCGTGTTACAATAATGTACTTCTTCGAAACGTTACGTCGAAATTTTCGAACGTTCCAAAATGGCGGCTCTGATGATACACGACGGACATACTCTAAAGAAATCGACGAAAATGACGATGACGACGACGACGACGACGACGACGACGACGACGACGACGACGATGACGACGACAACGATAAAAACGAAGAGAACGAAGAAGACAACGAAGAAGACGACGAAGACGACGACGCGACAGGCGTCCTTGCTCCAACCACTCGCGCTACTACCGATGACGTAATCGTCGCGATACCCCGCAATCTTGGCGCCGCGGTAAACTCGTAATATCTATTTTTATCTGGTGGAAGCAGAGGAGCCCCGCCTCACCCCACGTCGTGCTCTACGCGACGCAAAGCTTCGACACACCCGTCCCGTCGGTCCCGTCGTCTCTCTTTCCACATGTCCTTTCCTATATCTATCCTTCTCTCTCTCTCTTCTTATTTTCTTTTATTTTTTTCGTTCTTTTTTTGTTTTTTCTCTCTACCTCTTCATAACCTTTCCCTAAACTCGTAACTTTATAACTCATACGCGAATTTATCTTCGACTGTTAATTTCTCTTTATACTCGATCGATATTATTTTAACGATTATTCCTTTACGATCGTATTGTTCGTTCTATTTTAAATTTATCGTTGAACTTTACAAAAGCACATACACATTCCAGTAGTTTAAAGATTTATGCTAATTCTATCTTTAATCGTTTCTCTCTTTTTCTCTCTCTCTTTCTATTTATATGTATATATATATATATATATATATATATATATATATATATATATATATATATATATATATATATATAATTATTTTCTCACGTTATATACGTTCGGTTTTACTATGCCGCTCGTGGTGTGTAAATTTTCAGTTGTTCAAAAGTTGTGTGTAGTAGTCGGTAAATCTCGTTTTTACCGTCGGTCGTTAACGATAAAGATGGCGCCAGTTCGCCTCGATCGAGTTAGATTTCCTTGTTCGTTTATTCTTATTTTTTTTCTCTGCCTTTTTTTACTTTTCATTTTCGTTTTTCTCCTGGTCACGATCTCACGATTGATTTACAAAAAAGAAAAAAAAAAAAAAAAGAAAAAAAGAAAAGAAAAGAAAAAAAAAGCGGTTCTCTTATTATCCATTCTACGATCGAACTTGTTCGATTGTTTCGTAAGACGTGAGCGCGCGTTCGGGTGGTTGTTTGTGTGTAAGATGTTAATAAAGACGCGACGTGTTGTATCGTTGAAAAAAAATTGGAAGTTATGGAAGAGAGGAAAAAAGAGGAAATATGAGAGGTTAAAAATTCCGAGGTAACGGCAGGTCGATTGCCCACATACCGTCAACCTGCACCTTCCAACCTTTCCTCAGCTACCCAACCCCCTACTCCTTTGTCTCCCCGTCTTCCCCAGCCCCCGCCCCGTTCGGAATCCGTCCCCCTTTCTCCGTCGTGTTCGCTCTTGTCTAGTCTCGAATCTGGCTGGCGCCGGCGGCTTACCCACAATGCGAACGAGTCGAGAGACGCGTGGGACTTTCCGAATTCTCTTTCCTTTTCTCTCGTCTTCGTAGAAATCCACGTGTATATATATATATATATATATATATATATATATGTTTATTCACAATTAACAACAACGCGTATACACCTCGCACTATCCCTATCCCATTTCCCTCTTCAGTTCCTGTAACTTTCCATCCCCTATCTCCCTTATTCATTTACGTTCCATTAATATTTTTATTCAGGAGATTAGGATCATTTCTAAGAGATCGTAATCTATAGGACGCTTCTTTATCGACCGTGTACAATATTTAAGAAAATGTTTTTATGGAGTGATTACGATGCACCGATCCGTCGTCCTCTTCTTCCTCGTCATCGTCATCGTCATCGTCATCGTCGTCGTCGTCGTCGTCGTCGTCGTTAATCATGTATTTTTTGTTCGTTCGAAGATAACATTTATATCTTTGTATATTCGTAAAATTTCTTTACCGACCGAGTCCTCTTTAATTCATTGCAAAAAAGAAAAAAAAGAAAAAAAAAATAAATCTAGATCGATCTTCGATTATACGTATACGTTTAACGTGTACAATTTGTTTTTTTTTTTTTTCTTTTTTAATAATGTAAGACTTCAATCGTAGAAATATGATTTTTATATTGATCATTTGTAATATATTTAATAGGAGAGACCGAGCAAAAGGAATGGTGCACGTTGGCATATTGGGAACTTGGTGGCCGTGTTGGTCGTCTTTATCCGGTGGAACCGTTAACGGTGAACGTCTTCGATTCTTTGCATGACGGCGACGGTCTCTGTTTGGCGACGTTAGCTGAGAATCACGTAGCACCGCCCTCGGTACAAAAGACTCGCAGCAAGATCGGTCTCGGTAAGTGGTTCGCCCTTAAATATACTTAAACACATTATACATAGACACATACATACATACATACATACATACATACATACATACATATTATACATATATACATCGATTGATTCGAGATCGTTATCATCTAACCTCGTCCCGCTAAACGCTCTCACTGTTTCCTTTCGTTTAGGTATCATGCTGAGCCAAGAAGCCGACGGCGTGTGGGCGTACAACAGATCGGAGAGTCCGATCTTCGTGAACTCACCGACCTTAGACGACCCGGAATCGCGTACGCTCTTGGTCTACCGAGTGCCACCGGGCTTTTGCTTGAATATATTCGACCGAGCCAAAGTCATCCAGCTTCCATCTTATACTGGAGGTGGGAATTCAAGGATTATCAGTAGCAACAACGGCAACAACAATGCACCTTCCGCTTTCTCGTCCGGCCCCGTCGACATTAACTCCGTCCGCATCAGCTTCGCCAAAGGCTGGGGACCTAAATACTCCAGACAGGAAGTTACTTCTTGTCCCTGTTGGCTCGAAGTTCTCCTAGCACCGTGTAGGTGATCCGCGAGTGACGATAATGTGACGATAACGTATAGTTCGCGGATCTTCTTCTCAGTCTGTTTCTTCCTTCTACTTGTCCTCGGTTTTATACCTGGTCGGAATTATCAATTAACGAAATAGAAGAAGACGAAGAAGAGGAAAATAGTGAAGAGGAAGAGGAAGCAAGAAGAACGTCATTATGGTCATAAT